CCTCCCACACTAAGAAAACAGGAGGGGAGGGGTCAGTTGAGCTCCTGTGTAGCGGAGCACATAGAGCACAGAGAGGGAGAGAGAGGACGGAAAAAAACAAGCAGGAAAATGAAACTTATCGCCGTCTTTTTTTTAACCGACCTAAAAAAAAGTTATCGTGCGATTAATTGATTTATTGACTATCGCGACAGGCCTAGAGTCACCTCTCATTTAGTTATGTTTTGTTTCCAATGAAAGGGACTCAAATAAGATGCTAAAATTCAAAGAGAATATTTGGAAAAATCTCCAGAGCGCCTACAGATTTGTGGATTGAGACCAAGTTTGACAAGAAGCTCTGATTCATTGGAAGCGAATTATAAAAAAAAAATTAGAGGTGATTTCAAACTTTTGCACAGTACTGTTTTACATGTTTACATTTAAAACGGATATGCAAAAGTAGACGTATAAATAAAACTTTCTCACTCTAGTCCTATTGTGTGTATTTTTGCTCCAGATGGTCCAGACGTTGTATGGTAATGGAGCAAACTCCATATGGGAACATAGCCTTCTGGATCCTTCCTCCTCAGTCAGCGGGAAGCGCAAAGCCAACCCTCAGGACCGAGTTCAGTAAGTGCTTTTTGAGGATTCAGATAATGTCACTGCAGATTTCAGCACGCTTGCTCGCACTTGGTGTAAAGCTCTGCTGGCCATTGATTTTCATAGCTAAGGTCAGTGAATATGCAAAACTCTGAACCCTCTGAACCATGACCATGACTCGTTACAAAGCAGTTTAACTTATAGACTTTCCTCGATAAGTTTCCAGTAAATGAGAGAGTCCACAACAAAACACTCGTTTAGGTGTGATATGTTATGATTGGCATAATGAAGGCTGATTCTGCAGCACAGAGAAATGTGATGTACATAATCACATGCATTTCTAGGTTTTACACATTGTGTTGGTCTGGTGCGTGGTGGTGGAGTAAAGATAAACCTTCAGCCATGTGTTAAAACATTTGCTCCGAGTCTCACCATCAGAGTCGGAGGAAACACGTTCACTCAACAAACAGGAGTTGTAGAAACTTTCCCAGAAACCGAGGAAGCTTTTAGCTCCTTTGGAACCAACTATGCAGTTAATATTCACAACAGTTCTAGAAAAATAGCTCCAGCTAGTTACAGGGACGGAGTTATTTGTCCATTAAATTGTGTGCAACTTTATTCAGTATCAGGAATCTGCTTTGTTGTTCATGAGAAAGCACTCATTTTTTATCATTATAGTACAATAAAACACAAAATAATCATGTGTTCAAAGAATCAACAGAAAGAAACAGATGTGTTTGGATATAAACTGTGCTTCTTCATATTTTATGGTGGTATGAAGAACATAATAGAAGAATTGCACACTCACTAAATACTGTACCTTCAGAATACCCAAATTGTTTACGGTAAACTGTGACCAATTTTCCTGTAGCTATTCCACAGATATTCTTGAAATCACTAAAAAAATCTATACAGATGGTCCAATCTTAGTGTTACCCTTTTTTCACGTCTGATTTTTTTTTCTTTAATTTCAGTCCTAACAAGACAGAGTTCATCAAGGCAAAATACCAGATGTTGGCTTATGTGCATCGGATGCCTTGTCGGGAGGATGATAGTGTAACTGCAAAAGACCTCAGTAAGGTAAATGTGTAGTTTTTGATTTTTATTTTAATATTTTATTTCCCTGTCAATATTATGTGCAGTAATAATAACTCATTGTTATTCTGGTGGTCTAAGGTTTTTTTATTGTATTTTTTTTTGAGACAGCAGTGGCAGATTACACAGGATGTGATGTCATTAAAAGACTTGATTTATTTTTTCCATAGCTGTTCAGTTCTTCCAAATCAAACTATGACAGAAATAGTCTATCCTCTTTAGATGCATATGCACAGATTGCTGCCAGTTCTGTTGAGAAACTTTGCCAGTTACATTTATTA